TGACTGGATGAAAGTTAGAGGGACAAAATATTTTTAGAGCCTCAAAGTACTTCTCCACAAATTACTTACAAATCGCAATGAAAAAAAAAAATAGTTACTTTATAATGGATTAATCCAGAAACTACAACCTTAACTGAGCAATTCAACTTAATATTACAAATAATGGAACAAACTAATACACTATTTTGTGCTGTCTATCATGTCCTGGACTATAACTTTTGTAATATTCCTGTTAAAATGTATGATCTCCCTCAATTGTGAGAAAACATCAGACAAACTAAATTGAGGAACATTGAACAAAATAACTGGCTTTTACTTTTCAAAAATGTCAAGATCATGAAAAACAAAGAAAGGCTGAGAATGAAAGAAAACAAGAAATGAAACTAATTATAAGATATTATTCTGGTCTGCATCCTAGTAAGAAAGAGACTGGCAAAATTTAAATATAAACTCCATGTTAGATAATATTACCTTATCAATATATTTCTCAACTTTCATAAATGTACAGTGATTATGTAAAAGAAAAAAATCTTTATTTTTAGGAAATACTGACATATTTAGAGCTGAAAAGGCAGAAGGTTCTGAAAATATTTATAGAGAATCTGATGAGATAATGAAGAAAAATATTAACAATAACCTGAGAAAATGAATATAAGGGCTATATACTTTTTGAAACATTTTTGGAAGTATGAAATTATATCAAAAAATTTAAATCATGATACTCCATCAAAGTAATAAAAAGTATTTAAAATGACAAAATATTCATTTATTGCTTTTTCAAAAGATGTCAATGTTGTATAGTGAAGAAAAAGCATAAGACTCACTTTATCCCATTTTGTTATTTACATGCATCTATAGATACACAGAAAAAAATCCACAAAAGATATTCATCATAATTTTAATATCTGTGATTTTATATGCTGGGAGTGTGAGTGACTATTTGTTTCTCCGTATTTTCTAATTTTCTCACAATAAACATGAACGAAAAGAAAAGTTCTTTTTTGGAGGAAGCAAGGGTATCTTCTAAAGTAATGAAATGTAGCAGACCACTCTAAGCTCAAGTCCTATTTTGCTCAGAGACAAAATAAGTGATTGCATGATCTTCCAATTTATTTTCTCAGCATTCCATATATAATTTGTTTTTCCCTACACAACTATGCTTTACTGCTATTTTACATTTATATCAGCTGCCTTTACAAAAGAGACTGAAAAATAGGTTATTATTCCTATGTAACTATTATTTTATCTGTGACAAGCATCTCTCTTAATATCTGCTCCTTTGATTTTTATCAAAAACTCTGCTTCTAAGAACCTCTCTCTGCTCTTTCCCCTTGACCTCCACAATGCCAGGGTATCAGTGGATATTCAAAGCCACAGGATGAATATGTTTTATCTTCCTGGAGCATTAATTTTGGACATGGCAGGTAGAAAATGTCATTATTAGAGTAAAGCAAGCCATTTTTTTGTGGAGTCTAACTGAAAAGTCCCCAAAATTTTAAAAACAAAGCATGAAATTACAAATAATTCCCGTTCATAAGGTTTAAGGCAGGCATTTTATGCTATTTCTTAAAATTCTGAGGTATGAATTCACTTCTGATATGCTTTTAAGGATTCGATGGAAAGGTTTCAGAAGCAGGGATCTACGACACCCATCCCTCTACTAGTCCTTAGTTCTTTGTTGTGAAATGAGCTCCTACCCTTACGACTGTCTACTCAGAAAGATGCCCTTCACACAGCCAGCCATCCTTTGCTCAGGAACTGAACGTCCTAAACCAGGATAATCTTCAAGCCATGATATTCTTTTAAACATTGTCATTTGAAACATGTATAACCCACAACGACAATGACAACAATAACGACACCATCCCCACGAATTGCTTAGCAATAGATGTTCTGTGCAATGAGTCCTGGTTGGGGGTGGGGGTAAAGGGATCTAGTTAAAGTTTACAGTCACTACAAGAGAGAGACCTGCTTTTTCAAGATCAACTCAAAATGTATAAATCTTTATAAACTGTATACATTAAAATAGAAATATAAGTGAATAAAGATACCCAGGAAAAATCTTGGCAAAATAATCTAATATTAGACTATTTTAGACTTAGACAATTGTTATTTATAAAAAGGACAAAGTCAATTTTAATATGTACATAAGAATACATCTCCATTTAGGCTATTCAAATTGCCTGTAATAATGAAGTTTTAATTCTTTAAAATGTCTAAAATAATGAGAAGTCGATCCATAAAAACAGATAGTTTTAGGAAAAACGCCTAAATGGTGGAATCAATTCTCAGATGTACTGTTTACTAGCCTGATTTACTATGTAAACATTTTACAATGTTTCTAACCTTTAAGGCATGCCTTAAATTCAAAAAAGCCCTAGATTTGTTTTCTAAATAAGTAAATATTGGCTTCTTTTGCTTGGTGGGAGAAATAATAGAGTGAAACATGCATATTTAAGAGAGGGTACAGCAATGTTTAATTATCATTTCAAAGGATTGCTTCAAATACAAACCATTTTCTCTTCCTATTCCAGTGGCATTTGTCACCTAATTTGCTTTGGGCTTTCCACTGTGTCTTATTTACTTAAAATCAACCCAAGTGACCAAAATCATCTCACTTGACAACAGGAAAGCACTGATCATATAAAACCTGCCTTGCCAGTAGCAAGTATTGAGGAAAGGTACATTGATTTAATTTACTGGCTTGATACATAGAATATTTTTGAGAGGGGCAGAGTAGGGCTATTTCATTGCAAGAAATCAGTTTCATCTAATTTTATAGGAAATGTATTAACAGACCTGCTTAACTAAACAGCAGTAAGACTGTAAGACTTGAATTAACAAACTAAGTAATTTTGTTGCTGGGTTCTGAGAGCTGAGGTGAAATAAAATTTTAGAGCAGTTCTTGAGCTAAACCAGGAAAAATAACCAATTTTGTTCAGTATAGTGTCTTGTACAGAAGAGGCACTCAGTGAATACTTGATGGCCATAATGGTGGCAATACTTCGTCAATATTCCTCTAAATATGCTTCTTTGGACTGGGGGTTTGGCTCAGTGGTTCTGCTGCCTGCCTCACAAGTACAAGGGCCCGAGTTTGATCCCCAGTACAAAAAAAAAAAGCTCCTTTGATCACCTACAATGAAATGCAGTGCTATTACATTCAATTCATTCAAGAAATAATTGTTAAGTGCTATAGGCACAGGGGATGTAGAGGCAAACAGGCAAGACACAAGACAAAACTTCCTATTTTACCGGAATTCAGTGTTTGGCTGGTGTGGATAAAGTTAGAAACTAGGTAAGTAAAATATAATGTTAGTGGTAAACGATTTAGCGAAAAATAAAGAAGGAAATGGGTGTGAGATATTGAACGAAAGTTTAAAAGTGCAGGAGACTTTTGAGCAGACCTAAAGAAAGTAAAGGTGCAAATCATGCAGATATTTGAGGAAAGTCTCTAAATCAATGGTGACAGCATATGCATAGGCCCTGAGTTGAGTTTCAAGGAATAGCACAGGGGCCAATGTGGCTTGGCAAAAGGAGATAAGAAAAATAAAGGAGTGGAAGGCTGACCACAAAAGTCTTTGTAGGCATAGTAAAGAATTGTATCTATTGAGAGAGATGAAAAAGATTGGGGCTTTGAACAAAAGTGTGATCCAATTTAGGTTTGTAACAGGCTCACTCTGGCTGCTCTATTGTGAGTATACAGCAGGTAAGCAAGGGCAAAGACAGGAAGAGGAGCTACTTGTTTTAAAAGCCAGATTTGAAATTTGTGTTTTTAACCAGGTGCTTGGGTGATTCTTGGATACAGTGAAATTTAAGATTCACAACTTGAAATTACTTAAGCAATAGACACAACAAATTATTTTGTGAGCAGATTATTTGATAGTCACTAATCCATTGCTTTGCTGTGCCTCTGGAAAAACTGTATCTAAATCATTCAATTCAATTCAACTAATATTAAACTGATTTGGTCATGCAATCTTCCACCAGTGGTTTAGGAAGAAAATTCCGAAGGATCTTGGACCCATGCTCTATGACATAGAACTCCCTCCAAGAAAGGTTTTGTCTACTAAGAAGTGGGCTAGAATTCACATGGTGAGGATGCATTTGTTGGGCTGCAGTGTGAGTACCCCACAAACATGACAAGTTTAAGCATTCTGCTAAAATAGACCATACAGGAAGAGACATTTCCCAATGTTTTTAAAATGAAAGTTTCTCTCTTTTTTTAATGGAAGCAAATAAGAGCTGTGTATCATTTTACATAGATTTAAAATTTACATAGTATATATTCTAAATATATACATATAAAAATAACGATCAGTGCTCTTTAATACACTAAATAGTAATCTATTTTCAAAAACATTTCACAATTCCTTCCAAGTGAAAAATAGCAACTAACACTTGTATAGCACTTTATAACCAAGATAATAATGACTCAGTTACACAATACATGAAGATATATAAAAAATTCTTTCTATTTTTTAGTTGTACTACATTCACATACACACCCCTATGGGTTAACTACTTTGCGTTCTCTTCAATAACAGAGGTAAAGCCTGCTCCATTTACTTTTATATTTTTTGCCTGCCTTTGAATTGTTTCTTGTACCCTTTCCAAATCCTGTGCACAACAGGCACACAGGTAAATTCTTAACTGATCACTGACAAACCAATCTAGGGCAAAGTAACACCGAGAACTGGTCATCAGGTATTTTATTCTTAATTTATTTAATGTCTTTGACTCCATCCAAAACCAAAACTTAAAAATTTCAAGAGGATAAACTTACTGGACCAACAGCTGACTTTTCAAGCTGCTATTTTTCTTTGAACACAATTACCCAAGGATTTTGATCACTAAGAACTGTTTCAATGTGAATTTTTACAAAAATACATACAGTAAACTGAAGTTTTTAAAGAACATTCATTGTTAATAGTTGCCCAGGTACAAGCTGTTATTTTGGAGAGAGTACAGATAATTGATCATAAATAATAGATACTGATTACCTTCGTGAGAGGAAGGAGCCTCAAGGTGTTGAAGTTTAAGGCCAGTGTCTAATCTCTGAGGCTTTGTGTACAGAAATAAATAGCAGAGGACACAGACGCTGATAACAAAGGCAAGTAAAACAAGGGCAGCGATTCCCAATCCAATTAGAGCACCAACGCTGAGGAAAACAGAAAAACACGAATTGGTTTGCATATGGACTAAGGAGAAGAGTTAAAAATTACTAATCCTTGCTTTCAATCATTCATAACCAAGTTATATTTTCACATAAACAGTAAGTGATTGAAATATGTAGCTCACTTTTTCTCTTTCAGCACTCTTATTTTCTTCTTTCTATAGGCTTTTGAGAATCTTTGAAATTTATATGTTAATATTAATAGGGAAGACCATGCAAATTCATTATATAGGTTAAAAAAAATCACAAGACTCTAGATAGTTCAAAATTATCTCAATCAAATACACTTGTTATTACTATGTTTTAGAAGGAAAGACAAGACTCATCAATAAAAGGTAAATAAAAAATTTTTTTCTGTAAAAGTTGTAAACCAAATGTTTATCACAGCCATAAAGCTTTTGGAGACATATATGTGAAGTGCCATTTATTGATACACAAAATTACAACTATTACAAAAGAGAAGGTTTAAACTAAAAGAAAACAGTGTTTATAAAATATATATGAAGTTCAAAATTAATCTAAGTTTTTATTTTCTAGAACAGTATAACACCAAAGTCCTGTAGCATTAAGGAAGAAACTCTTGTACTTTTCTCCAAAATTAAGGTGCATGATATGATTAAATTTGCTTTGCTCTAAATTTGCAACAACTCCTTTGATGCAGTTTCCTGTTATGCAAATCATTTGAGAAGTGATATACTTTTCATACACTTTCAAACAGTGCTATCAAATGGGAAAAGGAATGTGAAAAAAAGCTTCATCTATTATGCAACATATGACATTTCTTGAATTACATATGTGTGTGTAAATATTTATAATTAGATTTTAAGCGACTCAAGAAGATATTTTCGTTGACTTTTCCACAGCATTGTGCAGATTTATTAAAAGTGCTTACACACTTAGCTTGTAGAAAATATTCAGTACATGAAAGAAAATAATAATTGATGTTGAATGATCTACCCATAGTAATTTGGAACACATATTAAAAACTAATAATCTTTTATTTCATTACTTTCCTGCCTTGGCTTTAGGATTTGCTCTCTCTAGGACCCAGATAAACAAAAGGGAGAGAAAAGAGATTCTGACCAGGTGTGCTAGGACCATTGTAGCTTTGGGAGGAAGAACATTATTGAAAGTGAAGGCTATGCTCATCCCACCTGTCCTTATCTGAAGAAATAAAGCATTCCTGCAAATGAGAGCTTGCCTTGGGAGCTACATGACATCACACTTCCAGATTCTTGTGCTTAGGTTATTAATGTTGGCCCCATTCTTAAACACAAGACTGAGTAATGTTATGGCAAAATCAGTGCAGGGTTACATATTTAAACATGAGAGTGCCCTTACTTGGTGCATTTTCTTTTAAGAGGATAGACTTTCTGTCTTGAAACTCCTCTTTTATTCTTGTTTGTGCCAAAGGTGACTTTTTTAGATTATGTCAGGAAGTGTTAACGATCACTCCTCTGTACACAAACACATAGAAATGTAATTCACTTATTATTATTTAGTGCGCAAGGCAGCTAGGAGATTAGACATCTGGACAGATCTCTGAAATGAGAATTCAGTTATTAAAACATTTTCAAAGTAAAAAAAAAGTCATTTAGGCAATTAAAATATAAAATTGTCAATTTAATTAAATTTAACAAACATTGTGAACTTTTAATGCACAAATTAAAAAAACACTCTAATGCAATTTGAAGGAAAAACACAAAGCATTCCATTTCTGCTTTCTGTCATGAAAGAACATTCTTCATAATCTGGACAAGGCTATTTCAGCTATTAAAGCTCCATATATTATAGAAATATTACTTTATGTATATGAAATCTAGTCATGAAATCTGGGTACAAATGGAGGTGGAGGAGTCTCCTAAAATATACATTTCAACAAATGCTTATTGAGTCTTTATGAATAGACCTGTCCAATAGGCATTATTTTCCTAGATGCTGGAGAAGACTACCAAAGGAAATGCAAAGACATTAAGGATTCGTAAGAAGAGACAAAATGGGAGGGGGCGAGACATAGAAAAGAAAGAATTGTCCTTTCTTAAGGCACCAGATGGCAGTTGCTTTTCAAGTCTGAAGAGAGGGCCTGATGCTCCCAGCACATTACTGCAATCATTCTACTTTGCAACTTCACTTTCTCCAGCAGCTATAAAATCCCAAGACAAGGGCTGATAACTTCTGCATATTTTCTTTGCAATTGAACTATTTTAAATCAGGAGTAAAGATAAAAGAATAGGAAGAAAATAAAACACTAATAAATTTACCTCCCCATTGCATTCTCAGAGCTCAGTAATGATCAGGAAACAGGTTTAACACTGCCAACTGAGGCCAACAGTTAAAGTCGTTCTTCTATTTCCCAGGGACTGAGCTGCATTGTCCATTTCTTCAGTCCTAAATGAAGACCCCTGCAAGTGCTTCACTCTTTAGTACCCTCATAAACCATAGAACTGTTTTGTATTCTCTGCTGCATGTTATGTTGGAGCTATTTAGGGATCTGAGACTCTCAGACAAATTTCCAGTTGAGTTTGACTTAGGCATTGCCAGTCTCTGTTGGAGGTGCTGTGGCATTATTAATGCCTGCAAACACTAAAAAGCAGATTACTGTTATTTTCTAAAAGGTCAAATAATATGCTAGTGTAGCACAAATTTTTACTAAGGATAAATTGGCATTCTCTGCTTTTTTTTTTTTTTTTTT